AAAAAAAAAAAAAAAAAGCAAGTTTGGGAAATGTAAAGTGAACAGAAAGGCAGAAGCAGTTGGATATGTAAATATGCCAATGGGGAGGGGGTGGGGAGGTGGCCGGCAAAATTCTTATCAGGGGTCTAGGGAGTGTGATCTCTGCATAGACAGCTTATCAATTCACACTGGATCCAGGGGTGAGGAATGTCCCAGAGCAGCATTCTACTCTGTAAAGTGACCCCACTGTTAGTTTTTTAAAAAAACATATTTGCCCAACTCATGACAAATGGCTTTGTTTTCAAACAAAACCTTTGCCTCAGAAGCTGTCCTAGGTACAAACTCTTCACTGGAATCTAATATGGTCTCTGCACAATCGAAAACTCAACAGCCTACGTGCTGAGGAAGAGAGTACAGGGTCGGCCTCAGACACGACTTGTGTTCGCAAACACTGTTCTCCATGGAGCAAGCACGCGGCGGCTACCACAGCCCCTTCCATTTCCCAGCATCAGCGTTGCCCAGTACAAAATGTTACTAACCTCGTGGCGGAGTTGTATTTCCTTCCACCGGCACTTTCTGAACAAGTACACACAGATTTATGGCGAACAATTCTTTGCACTTTAGAAGGCTTGAAAATGCTCATCCACTCCATGTCGGACATGTGGCCTGGGGCTTCAATGATGAAGTTACTCGGGTGGCAGCACTTGGACTCATACATGTCACTCTCCCCAAGACAGGTTTCATTTTTATGGCAACAGGAGACTCCAGACCTTTCTATGTCATCTTGACTTTCAACATCCAGCTTTTCTGGTTGTCTGGAACTAGAACAGCTGGCCAGGCCCAGGTACACATTGACATCATGCCACTGTTTCTCATCAGATAAGGAGGTGGATGTTTCAGAGAGTTGTTTCTCTTCATTCTGAATCCCGATCCCATTACCTTTTGGTGACTTTGCATGGATCTTGCACAATGTACTTTTGTTTTCTGATTCGATCTGCATTTTTCCTCCCAGAGACCAAGACTTTTGCTTCTCCAGTACATCTTTTGTAAACAGAGATGAGATAGCAGTTACACTTTTTTCCCCAAATGAAGTATTACCCTGTCGTTTCTTCTCTTTGCACAGATCACAAGGGCTCCTATCTGACCGATTTTGCTGAATCAACGTGGTCTCAAATTTTGGATCTTTAACCAATGACTTCTGATTTTTCTCCCTCTTAATATCGACTTTTGGGCGGTGATTCTCAAGGTCTGACAAACACATGTCTCTGCTGTGGTGGCATTACAAAAAATGGAAGTTATAAGATACACTTGATACTGTCACTCTAGATATTTCACCCAAACCTTATTCGTTGAGCTAAATCCTATTAAGACCCATCTGTCTGAAATGAAAACATAAGGGAGAATGTGTATTCTTTCTTCAGAGCCTGATTTCAGCCCAACTTCAGGGAAGTCTCTCTGACCAGCAAGCCCACACACTCTCTTTCCCCTTCCGGTCCTCAACTCCCACCGTGCTTACTGCCAATACCGCAGTCCTCATTTTACTGTGTGTATCATCTACTTAATCAGGCAGCAAACTTCCTATTATAACTATATTGTTCACTCACTTTCATGCACATATCCTGTCTTTCAATAGACTCCTGTTTCTTAATATGTAGAGGCATTTTTAATCCTCCTGGCACTTTAGGATAGCCTTTCACAAACATTAAGTGTTCTGTAAATACTTGTTGATTGATCTGTTATTTCCTCTTCCTAATTCTGTTAGTTTCACAGTAAACAGAGGTAAAGCCAGGACTGAAAGGAGACAGAGATTCAAGGAACAGAGACACAGTGGGAAGGACCAAATGCGTCTACCATACAGCATTCACGGCCATCCCATTTATCTGCTGGATATTTACATGGCGACATACTGAAAGCTGGTCTAAAGTAAGAATGACAGGTGTGCATAAAATGAAAATATATACAAACATGATAAGCCTTTTGATAAACTGTCTTCAGGTATTTGGACACGGAGAGTTCGGAGCCCTCAGAAAACTCGACCCCCACCTCCTGGAAGGGCACAGGCCATTCCACACTCTTAAAGAACAGCCTCACTCATCTAGCCCAAGTGCCTCCCAGGGGCAACGAAGTACAGAGAAGGGAAAAGCCAATATGGTAGGGGCTTTGGCCTGGGCGAGCACTCCGGACTGGTGCAGTGTGTACCAGCAGCGGCAGCAGCTGGGGCACAAAGCAAGAGTGTAACACCCCAGCAGAAGGCCTGGAAAGAAAAGCAAAGCCGGCTCAGCAGTCACTCTGTCTGTAGCAAGAGCTGCTCCAACGGTTCCTGCAACTGCTGCCAGGCCAAGGAGCTGCACGGTCACACCTGGTGGCCAGGAACTTCCCTAATTCCTGTTCCCATTCATGACTGCTTGTCACACTTCTGCTTGGAAAAGTAGACTAAATTTAACTGTGGGACAGCTATATGCCTATTAAATTAAACCACACCTCATATATTTATATTTTAACTTTACAAAACCAATTTAGTTCACACACTGATTATAGGTAAGAAAAGGTGTCTCCTTCTACTAACAAGGAAAACAGGAAAATCCAGCTAAAAGCAGAGATCACCCTCAGCTAGCTGAACAACTACTACAGTTATTTATACCATTCGTTGGTGTTTTTTTCTTTTAGGCAAGTACCATGTCCTATGTATCTTTATTTTCCCCATTCCCAGCCCAGTGAGTGCTAAACACTAAACTGAGTCCGCATGAAAGAGTAAATGACTCACCTCTGGTTTCTACTTGAGCTCAAAGTCTTATACACAACAACACACAAATAAGGCTAATGAATTTCTTTTACCAAGTGGCTAAATCAGGATCAGGCCTAAAATTCTAAGATCAGGTCTCATTATAACCCAGGATTATAATAACAATTACTAGCTCATATTTATTGACTCCCTACCATATAGGAAATGATAGTAGATACCGGCCCATAGTAAGTACTTCATAAATAGATTGAATGATAAAATAAAATACAAGATCATACTAATAGCATCTTGCTAAGATTACCTGGACTCCAGAACCTTTGATTCCTCCATCTTTGAGTCATATATCTGTATTAATTCCTGAGAATTTTCCACATTAAAATTAAGAAACTGCAGATCACTCTGTTGTTTTACATAAATCTGCCGTAGATATTGATAAATCAGTAAGATGTGACAACAAAACTATAATGAGCCAACATTCAAATGCTAAAACAGATCAGACAGTGATAGAGAAATATGCTAAATATGTTTGCTTTTATTTTTCCTATGTTAGCACTCAGATTTGTTAGTATAACTAGTTTCCAAACCTTTCATTACCATAAGCAAGACCCTATCAGCTATGCTAAATATTATATACCTTTAATGTAGTTAGGATTCCAAAAGCACCATAAACAAAAATCAACAGACACACACTTTTCCTAAGTTGATGTTTGTTTATAAATGCTTCCCAAATAGTAAGAACAGTATAACTGGGGACATACCTGTCTCAGATTATGCAGTTCTGCATTTGTACGTTCTTGCTTTGACTTTGCAATATCAAGTAACTCATCTTTCCTTTTTTCTCTCTCTGCTATTTAAGAACAATTATTATTAAAATATTTTTCATCAGCCATATCAACACAAACCTTTTCATTTCCAAAAATTTAATGTTCCAGTAACTTGTTTTCCCCTTGCTCCTGAACTTAAAATTTGCAAAATGCATGGCTGGGAAGAGCTTTAATCTGTGATTCTGACTAGATCTTTTACCAAATTTGAAAATTTTCACAATATAATTAATGCTGAGTCAAAAAAGGATTCAGAATTGTATCAACTGTATGATCAAATTACACTGTATGTTTGTATACACAAACACACAGGAAAAGTCTGAGAGCAAATACACGTAAGTATTTAAAGAAACTTTTTTTAGATGTGAGGATTAATGACAATTGTTTTCCTCTGTTTTTAAGGGGGGGTGGCATGATAAAATACATATTACTTTTTAAATTTTTTTCACATTACATGAGTAACTTATGAATGCATTTTCATTGTAAAAACCGAAACAACATATTACCTCTATCAATAGAAAAAAAAATGAACATTACAAGGTATAAAAAAAAATCATGATTTTTACCAGTATGCAAGTCAGTCCGATATAATCTCACAATCAGGCCCTTCCTATATATTGTCACTGACCAAAGACCAAAGATATTTGTGTCTATGAAGTGCCCGCATAGCAGATAAACTTGCCCAGCATTCCTCTAAAGATTTTCTTTTTTTTTTTTTAAGATTTTATTTATTTATTTGAGAGAAAGAATGAGAGAGAGAGAGCACATGAGAGGGGGGAGGGCCAGAGGGAGAAGCAGACTCCCTGCTGAGCAGGGAGCCCGATGTGGGACTCGATCCCGGGACTCCAGGATCATGACCTGAGCCGAAGGCAGTCGCTTAACCAACTGAGCCACCCAGGCGCCCAAAGATTTTCTACTTCTTGAAAACTCTTCACCTGATAGGTAATTAAGATTCCGAGTTCTCTTGAATACACAGTTATACACTCAATTTTTCTCAGTGCAAAAAGAGAGCAGAGATAATTTTTTTTTTAAATCTTCATTCTTTTACAAAGATCATCAATGCTTTGCTGAAACACGGATATGCCACTAACTAGAGTTAGGGCACGAGAAAGCCATATTCTAAAAACAGTTTCAGAACTTGGTAGATGAGAACCCAGAGGAGGGAAAGAATCTAAAGTGCTGTACAGGGGCGCCTGGGTGGCTCAGTCGTTAAGCGTCTGCCTTCGGCTCAGGTCATGGTCCTGAGGTCCTGGGATTGAGCCCCGCATCGCACTCCCTGCTCGGCGGGAAGCCTGCTTCTCCCTCTCCCACTCCCCCACCCCCCTCTCGCTGCGTCTCTGTCAAATACATGAATAAAATCTTTAAAAAAAAAATAAAGTGCTGTACAAGGGCTAATATCAGAAAAGAAAACAATATTATTCTTAATGAGAAAGTGATTCACACAGAAGTGAGAAATCAACAATAAATGCTTAAGAAAAACATCAGTATCTTTATAAGAAGTTCACACTAAATGTATAAAATAACCCTTTACATGAATCAATTTTAAGAAAATCTGATGCAGGGCGCCTGGGTGGCTCTAGTTGGTTAAGCGACTGCCTTCGGCTCAGGTCATGATCCTGGAGTCCCGGGATCGAGTCCCACATCGGGCTCCCTGCTCGGCGGGGAGTCTGCTTCTCCCTCTGACCCTCTTCCCTCTCGTGCTCTCTATCTCTCATTCTCTCTCTCTCCGATAAATAAATAAAAAAAAAATCTTTAAAAAAAAAAAAAGAAAATCTGATGCAACCTAAATAAAAATTTATATCTATGGTTCTTTCATAAAACACTTTTTTTACATGTCATTTTTCTCATGGATGAAAAAGGATAAAAATTTTTATTATTACTTTACATCTGGACATCGCATAAAACACTTAAGGACAAAGGCATGCACTTTGCTATAGACTGCAACTCCACTAGACTGCTGTTCTGCAGTGTTTGTCCGTGGTCAGGGGACCAAGGAGAGGAAAGAGTGACAGGGGTCTGTGCACAGCACCCTCTCTCCTCCCCAATGTATTTCATGCTCAGCCTTTCAGATGCGGGTCTGTAGTAGCACCTCGCTTTCAAAGGTAATCCTTGTGCACAGAATCAAAAATGTGAAGACAAGCATGGTGAACCTGGCCAAGTGGCCAGGTTTAAACTACTACGTCTTTTCTATTCAATTTTGAATTTATTTCTTTGCATTACATGAGTCAATACACCATAATGAAAGCATATAAATGTAATGGATTTGCATTATTTATGTAGAGTTGCATCTAGCTTATGAATTCGATCATAAGCACAAAGAAAAAAATAATAAAAGGAATCACAGCTACTTTAACAGTAGAAGCAATGCCCACAAGGCATCTGTGACTCTTTCCTGATCTCACTTCCACCCCCCTCTCGTATTAACAGCACTGTGACACGCTGGGTGCAAATCCTAGTGTGTAGAGATACTTGTTTTGAATTCAATATGGCCCCTAAACAAAAGCCAACTACTTTATTTGGAGTTCAAGGATAATTTTATTTTTTAAAGATTTTATTTTTAAGTAATCTCTACACCCCACGTGGGGCTCAAACTCAGGACCCCAAGATCAAGAGTCATATACTCCACCCACAGAGCCAGCCAGGCACCCCTCAAGGGTAATTTTAAATATATCTGAATTTTGCCTTAATCCCTGACTTTAGAATAATCTATTATTGCATAGGAGGCAACTCCACTGGAAATATAAATGTTTTCCTAGATGAGATACTTTTCTACATGGCTGGGTTTAGCTGAGAAATCCAAGTGGAGTGGGTCCACCTATTTTCACAAAGTGGTCACAGGAAACAAAGAGGTACTGGACTCCACTGCTCACTGCCTGAGCAAGGAGCCCAAACAAGACAGCACAGGGAAAGGCGCCTGGAAGTCTGCAGCTGCCGCAGTCTGGCCAAGGCTCTGCCTTTCACTGCCTGGGAGAACTGAGGCACTCACTCGATCCCATGGGGCCTCATTTACAGGACCGTCAGGACCCCAGAAATGTGAACTGGTATTCTCACTTTATTTGCAAACTTCTTATAAGCAGTTATGTACAAACAAATGAAACATGTCTCTAAGCTTATGTGAAAAACTTCATCTTCAATGAGAGGGAAAAAGTTTTGAACTTAACATAAAAGTGTAATTTTAAGACATCTTCTAGCTTCAAATAAAATGTGTTCATTTTCAGCCAGAGCACCTGACAGCATATTATCATGTTAAGCCTTTTAAAATTATTTTTAGGCTTAATTCACTTTTATAACTTAAACATACAAAAATTGTTTTGAGACAGTGGTATGAGTAGAAAAGGTGTTTAAGAAATCAGCTTAGGGGGCGCCTGGGTGACTCAGTTGGTTAAGTGTTCAACTCTTGGTTTCAGCTTGGGTCATGATCTCATGGGTTGTGGGACTGAGCCCCTCATGGGGCTCCGATCCCAACAGGGAGTCTACTTGAAGATTCTCTCCCTCTGCCCCTCCCGACTCGTGCGCTCACTCCCTCTCAAATAAATAAATCTCCAAAAACAAAAAAAAAAGAAATCAGCTTAGGAAATGATAAAAAAATATTATTTCACAAAATGGATTTTTTTAAGATTTATTTGAGAGAGAGTACGCGACCACAAGCAGGGGGAGCAACAGGCAGAGGGAAAAGCAGGCTCCCTGCAGAACAGGGAACCTGATGCAGAGCTCGATCCCAGAACCGTGGGATCATGACCTGAGTTGAAGGCAGACGTTTAACCGACTGAGCCACCCAGGCATCCCAAGCCTAAAAATAAATGGATTTTCTGTGGGCCTAGGAGTTTCTTAGCAACTAGCAGAGTTCCAAAACTCTGATCCAAAGATTGTTTGTAAATCAACTGTAAAGCTTCAAATATACATATATGTTTTTATATATATTTACATATGTATATTTATTAATAGATTAACTTTGAAAGAGCAATCCTAGAAATAACAGAAATAGTGACCTCTGATGGTAGAAAACTGCATTTTCCCCATCCTTACCACATGACATGAAAATGAAGAATTTCATTTTATGTGAAAAAATGTTAATAATGCATTTTGCCCTTTAGCTTATAGAAATGTATTCTCCTCCTAGAAGGAAGGGAATTGAGGGTATATATAACTAGACGCCAAAAATGTCAATTTATTTAATTCTGTTTGGAATTTCCCCTCCAAATCTATGATTTTCCTCATACTAAATATAAAGCCTAATAAAATTTGGCTGGCAGGGACAGAGATAAGATCTATACATCAGTGATTCTCAACCAGGAACGGAGAGGGAGAGGTCTGAACTAGTGGAAACTAGTGGGGTGTATAGGGGACGGTGTGGGAGAATGTGGCTGGGGAGATGGAATGCAATTTTTATGTTTATCTGGAAGGGGGCCTAAGGCAAACTATTGATAAATTTGCTATTTTTAATTATGAAAAATTCATCCTTAACGTTATCACTTCAGGTTCATGCTGATATAACAAAACACATGTGTATTTTTCCAACTGTAATCACAGGTGATCTATTTGCAAAACTGGAAAATTGTTGAATTTCTAATTTTTACCTAGTATTTGCAAAAGTATAAACATCCTTCCTTCTTCGATTCATGAAATCCTTTCTTAATGGATTTTTAAGCACATGTATCACGATTTTAGTGAAAAGTAGAGTCACGTACTCAAGCTAGAAGAGAGGGAAGGTAGCTCCTTATTTTATAGAAGAGGAAACAGGGTTAACTGGGAGGCATGCTGACAACTTTAATACTCCCTGCCTGGTCCCTCCTGGTCCAAGTGTATTTAAAAAGTTACTATTTTGAGAGAGGTGTAATTCCTTTAATCTATCATAGTTGTACCACAGAAAGTTTAGGCTACAAAGAACTATTCAATCACTTAAATTAATTATCTATTTTTACCAGTAAAAACCAATTCATCATGCAGGCAACTTTTCTCTTGCTTGAGACGAATGATCTCTTCTCGTTGTTCATTATTTTCTGTTGTCTTTTCATTTAGATCCTCTTCACAAATAGAAGAAAACAAAAGTCCTTGAATAAATACTATTTGCTAGAAGAATATACACTGTGAGTACCTCTCATGCCCTCGGCACCCTTTCCAATTAATGTGAAGTCCCATCGGAGCTGCAGCCAACATATATCTAAGCCTTGCTGCATCCCTCGCAATGACCTTGTCAGGCTTCCCTATCCCTGACTGGTCTCTCTGCTCAAACCATGCCTCTCCTGCTACAGCCTATTGCCCAGAGAGCAATAAGGGCATTTTTTTTTTTTTTGAAGTAGTGGGGCTCAAACACACAACCCCAAGATCAAGAGTCACATGCTCTTCCGACTCAGCCAGCCAGGCACACCAGGGCAATCTTTTAAAAGTAAAAAAATCTGTGGGGCGCTTGGGTGGCTCAGTCAGTCAAGCGTTTGCCTTCGGCTCAGGTCAGGATCCCAGGGTCTTGGGATCGAGTGCCGCATCGGGCTCTTTGCTCAGTGGGGAGTCTGCTTCTCCCTCTGCCTGCTCCCCCTGCTTGTGCTTGTGCTCTCTCTGATAAATAAATAAATAAAATCTTTAAAAAAAAAAAAAAGTTTCTGCCTTAACCATGGTGAAAAGTGCCCAGGCCAGCTTACTGGTGAGAAATGAGACATGGGAAGCAGAATTGCCCCAGAGGAGCAGCTCAGCTGGGCCCAACCGGGATAAGCCAATCCCCGTTGGGCTGATACCTGAGCTTATCAGATGCTTCTGGGTGCATACCACCAAGATGTTGTTGCTGGTTGTTATGAAGCATAAATTAACAATAACTAACCGGTACAGCAAAGGCAACTTATTTTAAAAATATAACGCATTATACAGTTTCCTCCAAGCCTGTTATTTACCTTATAACATGAATACTGAAGCATAATTCTGTATAAATGAAATGAACATTTCACGGTAGGATCTAAGGCCAGCAACAGACCTCTCAATCACAAGATGAAGTGAACCCAAATGAAGAAGTATGTGCCCAAGATGAAATGCTTGAATTGATGTCTCTTTCTTACCTTTCAGTTTATTGACTTCAATTTTAAGTGTCTTCAATTTCTGCTTGTAATCTTGCTTTTCTTTCACAATACAAGTCTCCACCATCTTCGCGTCACGCAAGGCATGCTCTAATAGCTTAAATTTTCCTGAGCAGTCTGCAATGTGATTGACGGCCTCGATAATATCTTTGTCCTAAGATCCCCCCATCA